TCTTATTAGTGGTTTTATCAAACCAATAACTGCTACATGTGTGTTGATCATGTTTTAATTATAGTAAACAATATTTTTTATGTTAATAATAAATCACAGATTTAATCATTTCACTGATGTTTTAGTACTCCTTTATGGTTATTGACTTCGATGTTGGAACAAACGTATAATTTCAGACATAACCTGTCTTCTTTTGATTAATGGTACGTTCAAAAGCTCTTGCGCTACAAATGCACCAACTTGCAACTCTCATTCGATTTTATTATATTAGCTTCTATAACTTTGTTTTTATTCTGGCGTTTGGGTGCTAGCATCCTCGACGTTCAGTGCAGTGCGATACTCGCTCGGCTACGGACGTGTCTCCACTGCATGTGCAGTCGCGAATAGAAATTCAAACCACATGGTTTGACTTGCGCAGCAATAGCCGTTGCGTACGCGACTACACTCAGTGACAAATGCCGCAACACTGACGCGGGACACGTGCGCTCGCTCTCGAGGCGGGAGCAAACAACATGCCCCGCGTCACGTACAATGTTTTTGTGTTACGCGTTATATTGCGGGACAAAATGTTCCCTAGTGTATCCGGGGCTTCAAGTAATATTTTTGATCATACGCCCAGCGTTGACCGTGTGGTCCCATATCATAAGATAATTGGGATTGTGTTTCACATTCAGTGTCAAGTATGACCAGAGATCTTTTCTTAGCTAGAACAATACCTAATGAAAGTGGTCAAATATTGCCGTCAATTTATATCAATTGCAAAACTTTCAATTGATAGTCTCCTCTACTACCATGGCAAAGTATTGCAGCTGCACAATTACCGGACTTTTACAGCACATTTAGGAGCACCATTAGGTAATTGATAAAATCATACCCATATTTATTTAAAATATATTTAACTTATCCATTATTGCAATCAGCTTGCTAGTATGCACAGTGAGTGAGAATAATTTAACACACTTGCTACAAAAGCTATTTTTCGGAAACGATACTATCGGTGGATATTAAACTATCGATGGTGTAATACTATCGATAGTTTTACAAACTATCAATAGTATTGATAGTTTTTATTATTTAATACAATGATACTATCGATAATATCGGTTGTATCGATAGTATTACTTAAAATATATCGATTTTGTCGATACCATCGATAGTATTATTATGTAATAGTATCGATCCTATCGATACTGTTACTTCTAATCAATTATATTTCTTTTTTTGTGATATCGATAGAATCGATAGTATCGATATTATCGATAATATCGATAGCACTATCGATATTGTTACTAGTTTTCGAGATCATCTATCGATAGGGAAACTATCGATAGTTGGGCAACTCTACTTGCTAGTATGCACAGTGAGTGAGAATAATTTAACACACTTGCTACAAAAGCTATTTTTCGGAAACGATACTATCGGTGGATATTAAACTATCGATGGTGTAATACTATCGATAGTTTTACAAACTATCAATAGTATTGATAGTTTTTATTATTTAATACAATGATACTATCGATAATATCGGTTGTATCGATAGTATTACTTAAAATATATCGATTTTGTCGATACCATCGATAGTATTATTATGTAATAGTATCGATCCTATCGATACTGTTACTTCTAATCAATTATATTTCTTTTTTTGTGATATCGATAGAATCGATAGTATCGATATTATCGATAATATCGATAGCACTATCGATATTGTTACTAGTTTTCGAGATCATCTATCGATAGGGAAACTATCGATAGTTGGGCAACTCTACTCAAAAGTGACGCCTTTCAAATTTATGCCAACATGCCACGCCCCGTACCGACCATCACCCAAGCACACTGCTTGACGTTTCCGACAAATGATAACAGATGGCGTTGTTCTAAAATAACGATACTCGATAGCTGTGCATCTTTGTTGATTCTGCGACAATCGACATATATATTGTTAGGAGTTGAGGAATAACAGTTTTTAAGAGCCTATAAAAGCAAACTTCACACCATTGTCAGGTTCATTTTGTCGGGTGTCGTTCGCAGCGGTTGCATCGTTCAAGGATCGTGAGACTTATATTTTTCTAATTTTTGTACTTTCTTGTTATTTCTTGATTATTTATGTGCTAATTTAATGTGTGGTGATTTGCGGTAGATAAGGTTATTTTTCGTGATTGTTATTTTGTTCCTTAATTAAAAATTAAAGAGTTGTATCATTTTGGTTGTGTTGCGTTGTTTTTTTTTTTAAATATCCAGACTTCTGATTACTAAAAATATATATTTTTTTTTTTTTTTAAGGGGGGAAATCGTCGAATGACTGCTCCCGCCTAGGTGAGGCGGGTGAGGAGGAGGAAAATATATATAACGCCGTCACAAATATCTAAGAGAACTATTTAAAACGCCAAATATCCTCACAGTGCCCTTTAAATTCATATACTTACGAAAATATTACGTCATCATCTCAACAGTCGATGTCGTCGCTCCACCTAGCGGGAGGCCTGCCCACGCTTCGTCTTCCGTACGTGAGAAGAAATCTGCAATTGTTTGAAAAACAAAGCGATCGACATAATTGTAATGCGAGATGTAAAAATAAGTTGGCTATACTGCAATTCCAACTGTCCAAAGCAGGAGAAACCCTTCATGGGCTTATGTGTCAAACCACTGCATAGTCTAAAACAAAGTCACTAACTATCCTGCCGAATCGGAGGACTCGTCAAATCTAGGGTTCGAACAATGGAGTCCATCCTAGTAAACGGCTTTGGGGAGCGAGAGAGCTGCCATCGACTAATGGTAGAAAAGGCTCTCATGAACCACTTTGGAGCCGTTGTGATGGCCGCCCGAATAACTCGAGCCAAGGAAGTCCTTCTAATTGGTGACATAAATCAGCTTCCGTTTATAGATCGTGATAACCTCTTCCCTCTACTCTACAGCCGCCCTACATATATCACGCCCATAAGCCAGGAATTGATGTGTACCCACAGAAATCCAATGGATGTGGCGTATGCCCTCAGCACAGTTTACAGTGGCATATATTCGTCCAGGTCGTTCGTGAGATCCCTCGAGATAAAAAGGTTCTCGGGGCGATGATTCCAAAGTCACTCCCCGACACTTTATACCTGGTACACACTCAGGCAGAGAAGGAATCCCTTAAGAACCAGGGATACGGGTCGACCGTGGGATCACACGTGCTCACGATACACGAGGCACAGGGACTTTCGTGTGCGAATGTGATTGTTGTCAACACAGCAACAAAGAAACATCAAATACATGACAGCGTACCACACGCGGTAATAGCAATATCGCGTCACACGCATGGTTGCATCTATTACACAGACAACAGTGAAGACGCGATAAGCAAACTAATCAGGAAGGCGGCTGATGAGGGTGAGCAAGGAATTAAGGACTACAACCTGAAAATGGCTATCAAACACAGGGACGCGGCAGTCATGGGTGCTCTCTTGGGCGGGGAGTGTTGCTTGTGATGAAACGAATGCATCATGAGGAAATGTGTGTGCAGAAACATGTAGAAATAAATAACCAATTGACTTTGGACTATTGTACGCTTTATTGGAATCGGCCCATGTGGCAAGGGTTGAGGCGTCATGCACACATAAATGTCCTACAGTCGGTGGCGCTGTGTGTTGGGTTGTTCCGTTCCCAATAAAAAGGTTGACCGGACCAATTGCTGACACACACGTCATACTCGTGAACGGGTGCCTTCTGCTGGGTCAGGTCGGCTCTCTCATCTTGTTGGTGGGCTGGTTTCATAAAGCCTTTGAAATAGAAATAAATAAATAGTGCCTAATTATTATGTAATCTATACTTTTGGTAATAATTATAGATGTAGTTAATTGTAGTTTGTAACTAGGTTCCCTGTTTACTTTATAAAAATTGACTAGATGTATTATAATTAAAAAACTGTATGACAAGGGCACGGACCTAGAGTCCGTGGAGAAATATTCTATAATATTAAAAAAAAAAAAAACTATCCGCCGTCTGTCTGTCCCTATGTACCTATGCTTAGATCTTTAAAATACGCAACGGATTTTGATGCGGTTTTTTTAATAGATATAGTTTATATACTAAGTACCTATATTGCACCCGTGCAGGCGGGCAGGCAGGCAGGGCGGGTCGCTACTGCTATAATAATTACCAAGTAATGTATTGAATCTTAATAAAAATAAATTCAAAATTAAAACTCATATAAGATTATATTGAAGATAATATGAATGAATGTTGGTCCGGCTCCACTAGACAGTACTCAATACACTCAGTAGTTGCTCTAACTTGAACAATAGTCTCAATTCCAATATTATATCAATAAACGTATGGCATCGACCGCATCGAACACTTGTTTTTAATTTGAAAGACTTCATCAAAGATTTTTATTTGTATAGTAGGTAACATTATTTCAAATTGTAAGTGTATGTACATATGTGGGCACCCTGTTCTATTTTTCCTTTTTTAATAATAGTAAATTGTATTTCTCCACGGGCTTCTGTCCGTGCCCTTGTGATATTACAGGTACATGTTTTCATGGTCAAATAATTGTTATAAAGCTTAAAGATCTTGGTGGCCGTGGGCACCATATTTGAAACAATCATTCATAGCTTTTTTTATTTCAGGAGTTCCAAGTCAATTAATTCTTGACGTTGTATTGTCGTTGGGTACATCGTTCTCATATATACCTACATTCAAAGGATCAGATAGTGTATCAATGTGATTGTCAAAGACATTACTTTTTAAAAGAGTAACGATGGTTTCTCGCTCGTCCTTCTCCATTCGAAACTACACTTTGGATCGAGCGCCTAGCTTCACTGACGGACGGACGGACTATTCAATTTTTGACGTTTCACAAGTGCATTAGGTAAGGATAAATAATTAAAATAAATACTTTGACTTTGACAATTACTTTGCGCGTGTGTAAAGATGATGAACAAAATTGTGCGTTTAAACGTTTTCATTGAAGTACCTAAACTTTGTGACATTCACAACAACCCAAGTAAAACAATTTCACAGAGTAAACGGATATATTTTTAATTGTAAGGTACACTGCATATTGTAGGAGTATGTGGAGTATACGGTTCCGACTTGTTCGATTATCGCTGCGACGAGACGCTGAGTGGCGAGCGAACCAACGTCTATGGCAAACTCTGTCCAGCAGTGGACATCTTTCTTTGTACATATATTGTCGGTAGCAGGTGCAGGTAATAGGACGCAACTCGCACCGAATCACTCGTACCTACCCTGGCACCGTGCGCGCAGGGCGCAGCGTCACATCGTCGCGGCTCGGAGTGGCAGACATCCCCTGTGCGAGCGCCACCTGCAACAGCGCTCTACTATACCGTGCGCAGCGACACTAGCAGCGGCGCCGGCACCGCGGGGCGCAGGCTGCCCTCAGCTAGCTAGTTGTATACACGATTCAATAATATCAGATGTTCAGCGGTCATCCTCGGGCGCCGAGTGTGGCGAGCTCCAGCTGGCGGGCGGCGACACTCACCGTGCGTGCTGCTCTGCATCGCGTGTGCTTGTCGGGCCCCGGAGCACCGTCCGCAATATATAGGCACGCCGCATGATAATGTTATCAACCATCGGATTAATTTTAGCATTCCGTGCTAATTCCACGATTGTCGAGCCGTCACGCGTTACGTTAAGTAGGGAAGTGGCTCATAATGGAGACATGATAGAGAAAAAAGAAGGGACTCATAGCGCGCACGTGCCATAGCCGGATAGCAAACAAAGTTGTACGTTGTGCTGGCTGAGCAGTGCCTAAAATACTAGATAAATACCTCGCAATAGACGTCGTGGTGGCTCCAATAACAAAGCGATCCTCGAGCGTAAGGACGCTGATTCGAAAAAATAAATGTAACTTATAGTAATGTAGGTACTTTTTATTTAAATATCACTGTGAAAGAAAACATTTTGAAGACCCCTGAACAAAGGTGACACAGGCCAATCCGTCTTAAGCAAGCGTGTACCTTCTCGATATGAGAAGGGGGCTTTGCTCAGCAGCGAGCACATAAATACAGGCTGATGACTTACTTCATTTAAATGACTCGGTTAATTATTGAATATTCTTACTTAATTTGTAAACAAAAAGAACGACGGTAGCCATTAACACTGTCGGATCTACATTACTGTTGCCGAATTACTATTTCTACTCATCTTTTTTTTAAGGGGGAAAAATCATCCAATGACTGCTCCCGCCTTGGGTAGGCGGGAGGGAGTGTCAGACTCTTACTGACTGAAAACCACCCCGTTCCTACTCCTGCTCTTCGAGCCGGAACCCCGGCTTTACACGTTGATGGTGTGGGTCTGATGATGAAGACTTAATTGTTAAGGGAACTCTTCAATGGATTACAGTAACTACCTCGTGTATGGGCTTGTACAAGTTGTATTGATAAGAACTTAGCACGTATGTGGATTGTTATGGATTATAAGTGGCCAAACAGGTCTATGGAGGCTTAAACTAGAAATGATAAAAAAAATAGAAACTGCGTTTAAAAACCAACTTTATTATTTTAACCAAGAAGCAAAAAATAACTATTATTAGTACCTACTGATAGGTTTCCCACGCACTGATAGGTTAGAAGTCGGCGCCACTGCCATAAGCAGTCACAAAATTGTACCTATTAAGGTTATAACGAATAATTTTGTTTAGAACTTATGGTGCTGACTTCTAACCTATCAGGACCCACTGACCTATCTGCACTAATAAGTAGTTACTAATTTGATTTTTTAATTTTTACTTTTTGTTTGTGATAAGTTATTGGTTTTTTTAAGTCGGTTTTTTATTGTCAATTCAATTCAACCGCCATACTGTCAGAGCCCTGATTATTGTAACTTTGTAAAATAAGCCAAGCGGAACCTATTCTGAGTTTAACTGTTATTCTATTTATAAATCTATTCTGGACGAGAACTCCTTAGTGGATGACCAGTTCTACAAGGAATGTGTCGTCTACATTAATGTCGTCACCACTCGCTTCTTCTTAGTCGTTTTCTTAATTACTGAAGGTCGTGTCTAGTCTGGTGCACGCGTCACTTGATGCACACACAACCCTCCTCCAAGAGCCGCAGCGCTGCACATTGTTCATAAAGTACTGCATACAACATTCTGCTAGCGAACATTCGGCCAAATAGGCAGATAGCTTGTAATTCATGACTTGATATATGTATATATGAAGACCCACACACCACGGGCCACCGCTCAGCAAGTACAGTAGCAGTGAACGCTGCCAGCGCGCGCCCTAAATACCTGACGTGCGCCGGTGATCGATCGATTTGCTTTAATCTCTGCTTACTGTAAACCCAAGTCAATGGACACGTGATACCGATAATGAACGTACAGATTACTACACAACTAGATAAACAACTGATAATGCGTTTCTTCATTTAACAGAAAAACTGAATATATTTAATTATTATGTTTGAACGAGCGACAGCGACAACATCACAATAGTAAACATCTGAATACAACAGCGACAACATCACAATAGTAAACATCTGAATACAACAGCGACAACATCACAATAGTAAACATCTGAATACAACAGCGACAACATCACAATAGTAAACATCTGAATACAACAGCGACAACATCACAATAGTAAACATCTGAATACAACAGGCAGGCAGTTCCAGGTGTTCGCTGTTAGACATAATGATATACAAAATATCCGATTGCTTACCATCTGGCGATCCATCTGTTTGTTCACCGGCTTATCCCATAGAAAAGGGTTCCGATTTTACTATTTGGCTTATGGAATGGGACGAGAATTAGTTATAGTAAAAACATAAATTAAATAATGTAATTTATTAATTACTTATTGAGGAAAGTAATCTGTTTACTACATTTCAACCGTCCTTCATGATATCGGCCCACTTAACACACATGGCGCCATTTTCGCAATTTACTTTTATTTATTTTCTTTTGTATATAACATAAATACACTAGAATTATACATAACACGCCAGTCAACGTGTGGACGTGGCAATGCTGCCAGTCTTCTGGGAACGTCCCGGTGATACTTTGACGCCTAATTAAGGGTAACTATATTTTTTTAGTTTATTTTTATTCACTAGTTTAGTTGCAGTTAATTTTAAGTTGTAAATATTTATGTAGTTATACATAATAATTATGTCGGAGCCGGTCATGAGTACGCTTAAAGAAACGCAAGCACGCCGTCTAGCGGATTTCCGGTGCGCTTATGCAGAGTCTTGGCGTCAGAGTCGCACTCGGCAGAGCTCACTTCAGTTCGAGTCGCCACCGGGTGCAAACGTTGTGACGGAACTGTCCTACGTTTCGCTTAGTGCCCTGTTACTGTACCTTGTGACTATAAGTAACTTAGTGATGAATTTCTAAACGCTTTTCCTATTTACACGATATCATCTTCACCCACATTCTGTCCGAGCTACCGGAACATAATCATGCCTCTTCAATGTCAAAGTCATAGTTTGGTACTTTTGAAACGTCAACAAATACAAAATGAAAAATAGTCTGTCAGTCAGTCCGTCAGTGAAACTAGGTGAAGCTAGGTGCTCGTTCCAAAATGTAGATTCGAATGGAGAAGAACGAGCAAGAAACTCCATTCGTTACTCTTTTAAAAAAATTATGTTCTACAATGGCTCTAATACATATTTCAATACTGTAATATGTAAGAACAATGCAAAGACACGCTTGACGCATTATACTAATAACTTACTAAAATAAAAAAAATAAAAATCTTAAAGTCTAACACGGTGCTTACATATGTATACTGACAATCCAATACGAAATAGTGCTTCTATACAAGAATTAAAAAACCGACTTCAAAAAAACCAAAAAATAATATAACAAACAAAAAGTCAAAACTAAAAAGCAAAAAATAACTATGATTAGTACTGATAGATTACCCACCCACTGATAGGTTAGAAGTCGTTGCCATAAGATCATATCATAATGATATAACTTAATGTCCACATAAATGTGAATTAGGTACCTATTAAGGTTTTAATGAATAATTTTGTATGGAACTTATGGCACCGACTTCTTACCTATCAGTGGGTGGGTAATCTATCAGTACTAATAATAGTTATTTTTTGCTTTTTAGTTTTAACTTTTTGTTTGTTATTAGTTTTTGGTTTTTTTTAAGTCGGTTTTTTAAACGCAGTTTTTATTTTATTATTTTATCATTTTCAGTGTAAAGCTACATATACCCGTTTTGTTACTTACAATCTACAAAGGTGCAAAGTTCTAATCAATACAAATTAATCAAGCCCAAACACAAGGTAGTTACTGTATACCGTTAAGGAGTTCCTTTAACAATTACACTTCTTCATCATCAGATCTTTAATGACAGCCCTACTCTATTTAGGTGTAAAGTCCTCATCAATCCAAATTAATCAAGCCCAAACTCAAGGTAGTTAATATAAACCGCTGAGGAGTTCCCTCGACTGCCTGTCGGCTCCATCATCGGGTCAACTCCAGACCCTTATCAAATTGTAGTGTTTCAAAATCCTAATTGAAAAACATAATAGACGCATTACTCGCCCATAGAATTTTCGAAAGTTCCCCTCGGTTTCCCTAGGATCCCATCATCAGATCCTGACCTCATTGAAATGGGACCATCTTGGGAGTATACCCTTTCAAACAAAACAAGAATTTTGGAAATCGGTTCACAAATGGCGGAGTACTGCGCGAACAAATAAAAAGAAAAAAAAAAAAACAATCAGCCGAACATAGTACCTCCTCCTTTTTTTGAAGTCGGTAAAAAGAAAACTCTTTGTTTCAATAAAGAAAGAAATGCTCGATGCCATAAGGAAACTAGATTGTCTACATTAGAATTAAAGTATTAAATCATGTATTAAATTACCTACTATTGGAATTTAACTACTGACTACATTTGAGTATTGTCCAGTGGAGCCGAACCAACATGCTGCCAAGCATTCTTATCTTCAAGATAATCTGTCAGCGTGTAGTAAACTTGATTACATAATTCGCGCTTAATATATGTTTTAAATTTACTTTCATTGAGATCTAGTATGCTATTTGGTATTTTATTATAGCATTTAATACCTAACCAGAAAAGAGACTATTTTCCTGGGAATTACTGTAGACGACAAATTACAATGGGGTCCTCATGTTACATCTCTAGCGGGACGATTAAGCTCTGCAGCTTATGCTGTCTGGAAAATCCGTCAGTTAACCGATATAGACACGGCAAGACTGGTGTACTTCAGTTACTTCCATAGCATCATGTCGTATGGCATTCTGCTGTGGGGACACGCTGCTGACATTGAGTCTATCTTTGTCTTGCAGAAGCGCGCCGTCAGAGCTATATACAACCTAGGTCGTCGCGAATCTCTCAGAGAAAGGTTTAGGGAGATCAATATTATGACCGTTCCATGTCAATTTATTTATGAAAATATTATGTATGTTAGGAAAAACCTACATTTATTTAGTAAAGTGTCTGATAGACACAATTATGAAACTAGACATAAGAATAGATTAAGTCCGCCGTTTTTTAGATTGTCAAAAGTACATAAGTCGTTCATGGGAATCGGTGTTAAATGTTATAACAAAATCCCCCAAGAAATACTGCATCTAAATGAAAGAAAATTTAAACTATGTATTAAAAAAACGTTATGTAAACAAGAATACTAGAGGTACAAACTAAATGATTATATAGAGGATAAAAGTGCTTTGAGGCAGGCTGGTCCGGCTCCGCAGGATAATACATGAAACACAGTGATGTTCAATGAATTCTATTTGTGTAATAATATAATCATGTTGCTTAAATATTTGTATAGTTTAAAACGTTGCACAATTTATCGTAAATGTGAGAGCCCTGTAATTAATTAAATCAAATTAGACTAGTAGATTGCATTTATGTCAGCTTGGAGTTGTCATGCTCACTCAAAGATCTCGTTGGCGGTGGCACGTGCATTGGATCGCTCGATTCCCTACAAAATGGTTGAGTTGGGCGGTGCTAGGGTTCGCCAAATGTTCGTGAACGGGCACCGTCGATTGGAACTGGTCAGCTCCAGACTGTATCATTTTATTTTATTATCCTCAAGGTTATTTTCTTTTTCAGTCTTTCTGACTGGATTTAGGTGTTGCATTGCTCTCACGTCATAATCGAACCAATAAAACTATGTAACTAGAGAATTGTATTGTAAACGTGATTGAAAAAGAGTAACCTATGGAATTTCTTGCTCGTTCTTCTCCATAGGAATCTACGCCTTGGAATGAGCAACTAGCTTCACTTATAAATTTTTGTTGTTTGACGTTCAAAAGTGCCATCCTGGTTTAATTGTAAAAAAAAAAACCATAAAGGATTTCTGTACTTTGGACAGTCTGAATTGCGGTATAGCTAACTTATTTTTGCCTCTAGTATTAAAATTGTGTCTATCGCTTCTTTTTTCAAACAATTGCCTATTTTTCCTTACATACATTACATTTTCGTATATATATTGACAGGGTACCGTTAAAATATTTATCATTTTAACTCGTCAAGTACCGTCATTATAGACACAATTATAGAACAATAGGTTGCGGTCACCGGTGACTGCTTGGTGTTTGACAGTTTTCTCTCAGCGATTCGCAACGGCGTAAGTTATATATTGCTCGGATAGCCCGCTTTTGTAGAATAAAATTATTGATTCTATTTCTGCAGCTCGACCCCACAACGGTACGACATAATGCTGTGAAAGTAACTAAAATAGACAAGTACGACATAATGCTGTGAAAGTAACTAAAATAGACAAGCCTTGCCGTATGCCCACGTCCGTGAGCTGTCTAATCTGTCTAACCGCAAAAGCAGCTGAGCTCAATCTCCCCGAAAGCGCCTTTGTATGCGGACCCCATAGTAGCCTATTGTTTATTACCTAAGTAACGTTGTTGACCTACTGTAGCTACTAATAGGGGTTAAATTGAAACTCCGTAATTAGTGCTTGAACTGCTGGTTTATATTTATTCGTTTTGGTGCGAACTTAGTACATACAAAAAATTACCATCTTAAGCAAATCGATGTAACGAAACCATAGCTTGCTTTTAATTGCGGCAACGCCATCTAGTTATAAAAATTGAACTAAATTAATGAATATGCATTTTATGGTTTCGTTACTTTGGTCTTGAGTTTTGGTCATGAACACCTATTGTCTAACGTAATGCCTAAAAATACTGTCTCGTCGACAAATTCTAACTTTTGACCGTTCAAAACAATATCACAATCGTTACTACGCACAATTGGTAAACTGAATTTAATACATTTTGTTTTTTTCTCATTAAGTGCTAGATTATTAATGGTGAACCAATTATGCACTTGAAGAATGGAGCTGTTTACGTCGTAAGGCAGAGTTATTAACATTATTGTACGCATTATTTAGATCCACAAAACAACGACTAAGGTAGATATACCTTTGGAGAAACCTATATGTATTTTGTTAATTAGAGAACTTAGGCTATCTAAACATGATTTACCCCTACGAAATCACACAGTGCTTTCTGAAAAAGAGCAGTTTTTCTCAAGAAACCATTCTAGCCGTCGATATAAAATGTAATGAAAAATTTTACAAATGCACGATAATAAAGAAATAGGGCGGAGTGATAAAATGTCAGTGGGGTCACGCCCAGGTTTTGGAATAGGGATAATATATATTTCACGCCACTGATAGGGGACGAAACTGTTGACCAAAAAACTATTGTATAAAGTTAATAGCACGCGTTTGCCTACAGGGGGTAAGTTTTTAACCATAGAATATGAAATATCGTCACATCCAGGAGATGTATCCTTCTTTTTAATACATTTTTCAAGCTCCTGCATGGAGATGTCACACTCTAAGATAGGATTATTATTGTCCACGTGTGGGCAATAATAATCCTATCTAAGGGAGACACATAATCAGGGGATAAAGTCTCTAAAAGACTTTTGGCGCTTTGAGAGTCCACAAACCGACTGGGAGTACGATATCCTTTTAACCATTTCATCTTACGCCACATGACACTGGAGGTGGTCGACTCATCCACTGAAGAACAAAAGTTATGCCAGTCTGCAGATTTAGCTTGTCGCAACAATTTTTGTGCCGAATGAATTCTATCTTTCAGAATGTCATAATTTTGAGGAGTTGGGTTACGCCTAAATATAGATAAAGCTAATCTACGACGCGCCACGAGGTGTGATCCAGTTCAGGTGTCCAATACGGTTTAGGGGAAAAATTAGAAGGTGGGTTTTGTTTAAATTTAAATACTGGAATATACTTGTCTGCAGATTCAATAATAATATTTAAAAACATATCATAAGCTTTTTGAAGGTCACTAGGTAGACTTATATTGCAAAATTGTTCTTCTAAATGTTTTGTATAAGACACCCAGTTTGCTTTCTTAAAGTTTCTTTTAATAACTGAGGGAGCGTCTGACTCGCAGGTACTAGATATTTTAATAATTAAATGATCGCTGCCTAAGTTCTCGTTCAATACCTGCCAATTAAATTGTAAAGCAATATCTAAAGAAACTAATGAAATGTCGGGTGACGACTGTTGTAGATTGTTATCTACATAGCGAACACGTGTGTGTGACTTATCATTCAGAGAAATATAATTACTGTCAACAAGTGCGTCGTAAATGAGCCGACCTCTGAGGTCAGTTTTATAAGACCAGCTGTTGTGATGGCCGTTAAAATCCCCTAAAATTAACGTTTTGGGATTCCGTAAAGATAAAATATTATCCCAATCTTGTTGAGAAGTGGCGATCCTAGGTGGACAATATATAGAAATAATATTCTCAATCGGGTTACAATTAAATAATCTAATACAAACTAACTCAATGTAACTATTATTAATGTGAACACAACTAAGCTGGGCTTTAATCGACTTATGAGCAAGTATGGCGACTCCGCCGTATGAGTCATCTCGATCGGAACGGTAAACATTATAACCACTTACTTTGAAATGACTGTCAGGTTCAAGCCACGATTCACTAAGGGCAACAATATGGACTTTTTCGTGGCGTAAAATTTCTAATAGGTCTGGTAACTTTGGTTTAACACTTTGGGCATTCCATTGAATGATATTTAATTTAATCACAGTGATTGCGAAATAAAAACACTCAACAAAGATTTCATCCATGGCCATTCCGAAACATAATTCACCATCACTAGCATAAACCATTCTAGGCACAACTGAAGTACAGAATGAATCTTGGATGAAACACTGGCTTGACTTATAAAGATAACCTCTTTGATTCGGGACAATAGCTCGCTGAAATGGGATACATCTTTCTGCTCCATACCATCATCAGACATACCGTCTTTGTCTTCTGAGCCTGCGAGTGAACTCCAGAATAGCAGGTCTTCTTCAGGAGACTGTTTCTTGGTTTTAGGCCTTATCTTACCAGGGCGATAGGAAGATTTCCCTCCTAACTCCGTTTTGTGAACAGTCGCTTTAGTTTGGACAGTTTCGGCATAGGTTGGACGAACGGGAAGCTGCGGCGTGGAGTCTATCTTGATCGACGGTGTATCTTTTCGAAGGGGAGGAAATGAGTTGGGATCTGTGCATTCGATTATACCAGAATGCTCGGGAGAAACATAGCATTGTAAGGCCTTTCTGTATGTGCATCTAAATTCAGCCATAATTTCCCTAAGTTTTCGTTCCTTTTTATACATTGGACCAGTTCTGCTTAGCGAAATGTGTTTTCCACCACAATTCACACATGAGAACACCGAGGCATCGCAGTTGTCATGATGACCAGAACATTTAGGACAGGTCACCTTTTTGGCAGGACACATTTTTCTGGTATGACCAAACCTCCAGCACTGGGAGCATTGAGCCACTTGGTGAATGTATGGCACTACTTTCACCTGGATGTCACATACCTGGACGACAGAGGGTAGGTAGTCTCCTTCAAAGCACAGACGGATTGTTTCACTGGGGCACCAACCCCCTTCATTCCTGTCGCGACGGATTAATTTTTTTAGAGATATGAGCTTGGCTGGAGAAGGGCAAGAAATGTATTGTATAATCTCATTTTCAGGGAGGTCTAGGTCCACATCTTTAATAAGGCCATAGCAGACGGACAGTTCTGTTGCCTTTTGGAATCTCCATCCCTTCTCTAATAGTGTTTCGCATTCAAAGAGTTTCCTTGAATTTGATTCACTCTCAAACTGCAGACGAATTTTGAAAGGGCTCAAATATTTAACTTGACATATATTCTTTATGTTGTTGACTTTAAAGATACGAGCTAAAGCAAATTGTTTTGGTAAACGTTCCTTGTAGGAAATATACACTTCATATTTGTCTTGTACGATAATACTACTTCGGCGTGATTTCTTCCCCTTTACTTCTTTCCAGTTTTCTTCCTCACTACTGTCCCCCCGCTGTCTCTTTCCCACTCTCAATAACTTTTCTCCACTTTCATCGCAATCCTCTATAGCATCCATATCAGCTAAATTTAACGAAGGCAAAGGCGTACCGCAACGCGTCGATGCGCTCATGTTAATATTGTCCATCATCAATAAAAACAACAAGTAGTAGGATTAAAAATATGCGACCGGTGCGGCGCACGCGTATATTGCGTGACCGCAAAGATGTAAACAATCGCAATGGGAAAGTATAAAAAATTATCAGCTTCGAGGCAACAATAACACACAACCGAACAGCACGTGTGCCGAAGCGGTGAATTAACTTAAAATATGCTTCCTAAACTATTAACTATATTTAACAATAAACTTATTTAAATTTTAACTGCAGACTATATTTCCTTACACAGTATAGAGTAAGTGGTCCTTGTGAACTCGCTCAGTGTACAGTTAAATATGTCTACGACATCAGCCACCGTGGTGAGAGTGCGCGAAGCACGAGTGAGCGGCGCCCGCGGCACCACCACCACCTCGCGCCACATAGTCGTCCGGCATACAAAAACCTATCTCTGAAAGTATACCAGAGTTTTGTATGTTACCTCTTAAACTGTCAAACACCAAGCGGTCACAGGTGACCGCAACCTATTGTTCTATAATTGTGTCTACAAAACCGGTACTCGACGGGTTAAAACCTTTTTTTTTTTTTTTTTTTTTTTATGGAATAGGAGGCAAACGAGCAGACGGATCACCTGATGGTAAGCAATCAGCGCCGCCCATGGACACCCGCAACACCAGAAGAGTCACAGGTGCGTTGCCGGCCCTTTAAAAAGGAGTACGCTCTTCTCTTGAAGGTTTGAAGGTCGTATCGGTTCGGAAATACCGCCGACGACAGATCATTCCACAGTTTTGCTGTGCGAGGCAGGAAGCTACGTGAGAACCGCACAGTTGTGGCCTGCCAACCATCTATATGATGGGGATGCATATGCTGTCGTGAGGGTCGATGGCGAAAAGATGCGGCAGGTATCAGGTCAAACAATTCCTCAGAGCACTCCCCGTGGTATAAGCGGTAGAAAATGCACAATGAAGCTACATCTCTACGCATTGCCAAAGTGTCGAGCCGGTTTGAAACATCCGGACATCCAACAATCCGAACGGCACGCCGCTGAATGCGGTCCAGAGGAAGAAGCTGGTACTGGGGTGCCCCCGCCCAAAGATGAGAACAGTATTCCATGTGGGGCCGCACCTGTGCCTTATATAGAAGCAGGCGGTGGGTCGGGGTGAAATACTGCCTCGATCTATTGAGCACACCAAGCTTCCTCGAGGCTAATTTGGCCTTATCCTCTAAATGACCGCAAAACTGGACGTCGCTCGAAATATTGACACCAAGTATTCCAATACCGGCTGAGGCAGTTAGGGGGGTGCTTTGAAACTGAGGAGAGACGACCAACGGCAGTTTCTTAGCGGTAAACACGCAGACTTGTGTCTTAGTGGGGTTAAATTGGACCAAATTAAGTCCACCCCAATCAGAGATTCTCCCTAAAGAGGTCTCGATTTCAGACACGAGTCTGTTTCGGCTCTCTATGACGTTTTCCCGAGAAATGTTAGCGCGGCCGGTGTAGTAGGCATCGCCTGTGCTGTCATCCGCATAACAATGAATGCCGCTGATTTGCAGCATGTCATTGATATGGAGGAGGAACAATGTAGGCGATAGCACGCAGCCTTGAGGGACGCCTGCATTTACAGACATCAAGTCAGAGCATTCACCGTCGACGACGACTTTAATGCTTCTGTCTGCAAGGAAGTAGGAGACCCATTTGCATAATTTCTCGGGAAGTCCGTAGGAAGGAAGCTTCGAAAGAAGCGCTCTATGCCAAACCCGATCGAAGGCCTTCGCCACGTCTAAACTTACTGCCAACGCTTCCCCCTTAGACTCGATCGCCTGTGCCCACCGATGCGTTAGGTAAACAAGGAGATCACCAGCAGACCGACCTTTACGAAAACCGTATTGCTGGTCACTGAGCAGCTGATGATCCTCTAAGTAACGCAGGAGCTGGCAGTTAATAATGGACTCCATTATTTTCGAGAAGAGGGAAGTTATGGCTATCGGTCTGTAGTTAGACGGGTTAGATCGATCACCTTTTTTAGGGATTGGGTGGACTAAAGCTGTCTTCCAGGACGTCGGAACTACGCCTGAGGAATAAGAGAGCCGAAAAAGACGTGTTAGAACTGGGGCCAACTCGGGGGCGCACATTTTCAAAACAATGGGTGGGATCCCATCAGGCCCGCTCGACTTATGGACGTCAAGGGATAAAAGCGCCAAACGTACCGTGCGCTGGTGGAACCGCACATCCGGCATATACCTTCCGCACCAAGGCACAACAGGAGGCTCGCGCCCACCGTCATCCAGTGTCGAGTTGGATGCAAAGATTTTTGCCAAAAGTTGAGCCTTATCCCTTGCGTTATGAGCCAACGAATCCTCACCCATGTGCAGAGGTGGAAATGACGGCCTGCAGAAATTGCCCTCGATAGCTTTGGCGAGCGACCAGAATGAACGAGTTCCTGAAGGAAGGCGCTCCAGCCTCTCACCAATTCTACCGATGTGCTGCGACTTGGCACCCGCAATAGCTCTTTTGAAGGACTTGGAGGCAAAGTTATACTCCTTTTTTAGTGCACTGGTATTTACATCCCGTGCCACCGCCGCATCGACCCAGGCTTGGTAGGCCTCCTGCTTTCTGCGTGAGGCCTTTCTGGTAGAAGCATCAAACCAGGGCCGATATCTGCCACCGACGGGGACCAGAGAAGATGGGACGAAAAGCTCCATCCCCTGCAGCACCACATCAGCAACAGAATTGGCAGCGGCGTTGGGATCATCCTGCAAGAAGCAAGCCCGCCTCCAAGGGTAGGATGCAAAAAAGGACCGCATCCCATCCCAATCTGCCGACCTATAGTGCCATACACGGCGACCGCGTACCTCTTGTAGTCGCGGTGTGCACGTCCAAGATACAGAGCTCCGGACAAGGCAATGATCCGATGAGCCAAGAGGGGCTTCGACGGATACGCTGTAGCCGTCCGGGTGAGAGGTCAGCAGAAGGTCCAACAGTGAAGACCTCTGGCCTTCCACATCCGGGATTCGCGTGGGCACGGTCACCAGTTGTGTTAGGCCAGAAGCAAGAGCCAAGTCGTGGACAGATCTCCCCGCGTGGTCAGTCTTACTGGAGCAGAGCCAGTCGGCGTGATGGGCGTTGAAGTCGCCAAGCAAGACCACTTCCGCTGAGGATATCTGCCCCTGCACAAGATCTACAGCCGTCTGGATGAGGTCCATGAGTCGGTCAGTCTCGCTATCACCGCTATGGGACCTATATAGGCACGCGTAGACACGGGGGTGGTCGTCGTTATCTACACGCAGCCATAAGGTGGACAGGTCCCTACCTTCAAGATTACTGAGGCGACGTGAGCTGATATCGTCCCTGATGTACACGCACACCCCAGCCCTAGGCAGGAAGGAATGTTCCAGTCCATACCCAGGGTAGGTGAGGTAGGATGTGTCCAATGGAGACGATATCTGCGTCTCAGTCAAAAAGAGCAAGGCCGGCTTTGCTGTCTCTAGGTGGTGATGGACAGCATTGAGGTTGGTGTGTAATCCCCTTATGTTGCAGAAGTCCACATTCAGCGTGGCAAGGGGTGCCACCTTCAGAAGATAAGTTGCAGATGCCACTTCACGCCTGATTTCCAATTTGTAGTACCCCACCATACCGAGACAGAATAAGGTGGGATGCAGTAACGGGTATCCCGGATATATCCCATATATTTTTAAGTACATAAATCTGATGTAGGTATTTTTTTTGTATCCGCTCTAGCATTATTTTATATTTTATTTCGCTCGGACTCCAGATGGCCGCATTGTATTCCAGATGACTCCTCACAAGAGCCTCGTACAAAGCCCTTAATCCGCTGATATTCGTGAAATCATTTGCCTGACGCAGCACAAATCCCAGATTCCTGTACGCCTTCTTATAAACATATACCACATGTTTACGAAACCGTAAGTCAGTTATTAGTTAACTACATAACTAACACAGCAAAACTGTGGAATGACCTGTCGTCGGCGGTATTTCCGAACCGATATGACCTTCGATCCTTCAAGAAAAGAGCGTTTTCCTTTTTAAAAGGCCGGCAACGCACCGGTCGACGGTCGGCGCAGATCGCTTACCATTAGTGATCCGTCTGCTCGTTTGCCTGTTATTCCATAAAAGAACCATACTCAGGATCATAAGTTGTCTTATGTAAAGAACAATCATAACACACGAACTATGGCTGCTGGTAGATACGAAGTACCCAGAGTCATCAACTATTTTGATATCTACTGAATAGTCTGCCGGCAGACAAGCAGTAAAACAAATTCAAATAGGTTCAAACGTAAATTAAAGTCATATTACCTAGAAATGTCTAAAATTGTAGGTATATAAGTTTCCTGTATAATATATAATATTAATAAGTACATTTAATTGTCTATTTCTTTCTATATCTATCATTTAAATGCCTAGTGACTCGACGCCACAGTCGAACATTGATTCGGTTTTGTGGGGCTTTAATTATGTATTTGAAATGTTTGTTACGTTTAATTAGCTTGAAATTAAATTAATGGTCAATTACAGTGTAAAATTATTATGACTCACATAATTTAATACTCAAACTAGAAATTGTGAAAAAATATTACTCGCCAGAGTATAAATACAGTCACACACTTTGTTCTACTTCTGTCAATTCAACCGCCATACTGTCAGAGCCCTGATTATTGTAACTTTGTAAAATAAGCCAAGCGGAACCTATTCTGAGTTTAACTGTTATTCTGGACGAGGACTCCTTAGTGGATGACCAGTTCTACAAGGAATGTGTCGTCTACATTAATGACGTCACCACTTTAAGTAGTTGTGGGCTTGCGAGAACAAGGAGGGTAAATGAAACGCAGGGACTACATTAACTGATTGATTTATTCGTTGACTCCTCGGCAAACTTAATTGGTCCACCTTTATTGCTTCTAACTAGACGCGCACTAACGGCCGCGGGGCGCGGGCGCGGACGCGGACGCGGACGCGGACGCGGGGCGCGGGGCGCGCGGGTCGGTGGACCAGCGAAGTGGCCGCGGCGGCGCGCGCCGCTCCTACTCGAGACACTTAACCTAGCTATGTACAAAATTAGTACCCGTTTAAATGAATGTATATCGAGTCTATTTACACGTGAGGAGGTGTGTGACGACGTCACTGCGCGTTCGGTGCCTGCGCCTGTGCCGGGGCTACGGGTTGCGCCGGGGACGCCGCAGGCGTTGGCACCGCGGGCGCCGTAGGAGCCGCGCCGGCCGCGCCGGGCGCACCGGGCGCAGTGGGCGCAGTGGGCGTGGAGTTCGCATGCGCCGTGGCTGCAGGGGGCGCGCTCGGCGGCTCGGCGCTGGACAAACGCGCGAGCGTCTTGTACAGCGGCGAGTTGACGAAGCGCGGATACGAGTCGCGGTGCATCAGCGTGTAGATCTGCAGCTGCGCCTCGTCGAACGTGTGCGGCGTCGGCTCCACCATGTTGCGGTTCACGATCTCCCGCACGCGCGAGTCCAGCGACACCTGCAACAGTACACGGTCAGAGGGGGCGAGGGGCGGGGGGGGGACGAGCTTGCGGGACTCACCTCCTTGGGCGACAGGATGGAGATGTAGTCCTCGTAGATGAAGCGTGCCTTCTCCTCGACGGCGTCGGGGTCTGTCTCTCGCTTGAGCTCTTCGCACGCGAGCCAAAACATTATGTTCTCCTCAGAGTACTCGCCGCGTAGGAAGTCGCGAAATACTTTCCGCCCGGCTGAAACACCCAAACGTACCACATGAACACTGCGCGGGAGTTAGTGGCAGTGAGCAGTAGCAGGGGGAGCCCCGCGTTACGTACCAGCGCTGCGCATGAGGCGGTCGAACGACTGGCCCCAGCTCTGGATCTCCTCTAACGTGGGCCTGCAACACAGTACACTTACTGTTACCGTTTGCTCTGTGGGAGGGCCAGGTTAGTCACGCAACTTGCTTGTATAGTATAGTTTGACCATCTGTGAACGCAACGTTCAATGACAATGTATACTAGCGCCATCACATATATTGTACAACAATTATTACCTCACCGAATTCTCTCAGTTATCGTCGTTTTTACTAGGAATTCGTTAAACTATGCGTCCAAAATCCAAGTTTATTGTTGCAATGCTTAGAATTCGAATTGTTCGCCACCCAAATACCCCAGGTTCGATTCGGCATTGCTAGTCATATTGATCACCCAAATACCCCAGGTTCGATTCTTTGTACTCATTTTGACTGAATTAGGTTCAACGGTTTAGAAGATGGAATCATGGAATTGTAACGTATAAGTAGTTCCCGTTCCCGAGTGCTACCAGGATAAAACTGTCCTACGTCCTGTCCTTGGCCTTAAACTATTGTTGTACTGAATTTCCCTTATATAGACTTAGACGGTAGAAAGTCCTGGGATTTTAGCACAATATTCCCGTTCCTGGAGCTTTTCTGGGTAAATACCATCCTATGTCCTCCTCCATGAACTCGCTTCTAATCACTTTTGTCCTCATCTTCAAGGACAATGATATCTAATGAGCGCTCAACTCGATATGTTTACTAGTAAGGTTAATGGACCGCCGACCTCCAGCTCTATGGTAATTGGTACCATCATATTTTACAGGCATCAAATTACTGAAATGTCAAGTTTCTTAGTTAAAGAATAGATGGTTCGTTACAGGCCCGTCTACCCCAGTAACACGCTAAAAGTAAAAAGTGTTTTACACTTACGTAGGTAGCGTAATATTGTTTTACACTTACGAAGGTAGCGTAATATTGTTTTACACTTACGAAGGTAGCGTAATATTGTTATTTATTAATTTAACGTTTCCGCTCACTACAATTTCCTTCTGTGTCGTAAGTTCGTTTACAAACATACAATTTCGCACACATAGACATGACACCCAGACCCAAAACAACAATTTGTGTATCACGCAGAGTTGGTGCGTGCGGGAGTCAGGCCCGCGACACGTGGCGGCAGGCGATGGTCGTTTACAAGCCTTGCGGCTACAATGCAATCTAGTACAACCAAATGACCAAATAAGTATGTCAGTGAACTTAGCTGATCATTGTCCAGCAGATCAAAAATAAATGAGAGTTCTCATTGCCAGCAGAACAATTTCAGCACTTCAAATGATATTGCACAGGGCTAGAACGGTTCCAATCCCTAGAACTCTCTAGTTTCTTACAGACTTAAATTAGACCTACAATCTAAAACTCTAATTGTTCTGCTGGAATTTTTTTCCAATTGAATTTTTAAAGGTAAAAACGCCAGAACTATTTCTAAAAATTATCAGGAACTGTAGAACTAATTCACATGTGATAAGAACTGACGTTTATTTATGATCTGCTAGAAATTGATCTGCTGCCGGAAGTTGGCAGATCATTTTTTTAATCATCTTTTTTTAAGGTAAAAACGCCGGAACTATTTCTAAAAGGTATCAGGAACTATAGAACTCAGCTGCATGCAATGAGAACTCTCATTTATTTTTGATCTGCTGGACAATGATCAGTTAAGTTCACTGACTTCAAATAAGTGAATCTAACGAACAAGGATTCAAAAAGTAGTGTTATATCGATTACATAATGGCTAAGATTTTCCAACGATATGAACTGTATAGTAAGAAATTGCAGTGGGTAAGAGATGTTACATATTATGTACGTAGTATGGTAGAAGCGAGGGTACTCACGGCGCGTCTCCGTCGCTGAGTGGCGGCTCCGTCGGGCCGGACTTGCCCGGCTTCTCGCCGGGCCCGCCCTCCGAGCCGCGCACCGCCAGGCTGCACAGTTGCAAACGTTACACTAAGCTCGCTCCGCGCCCCGCGCCCCGCGCCCCGCCCCGCGCTGCCCCGCTGCATCTCTACTCACTCCTCTTGTATTATTGTTAAAACATATTGAACAGGAATAATAGGTACGCTTCAGGTTTGAGGGAGGTAATCACCACCAGTAACGCAGCGGCAGCGAGGCCCCAGCTTGACCAGCTTCGACGATATATTGTTTCGTCAATGCATCACAAACTGCTCGACGCACTAAGCTGCGAGCGGCATGTGATATACAAGTTGACGAATGTCGTGTCCGGGCAGCGACTGGGCGTTTTGGCGAAGGCGCGCGGCAGACTAGCTACAGAATAAGGGTGGAGAGGGCGCGTGACTTCTCTGCACTCACCATTTAGCCCTGGAATAGAACAAACGAAGATGTCAAGAACCATCGACGCTGTACTAGGCAGTCGTTTAGTTAGTGGGCGGGCGGGTACTGACCAGGAGCACGAGCAGCAGCAGCACCAGCACAGGCAGCAGGGCTTGGCGGCGGCGGCGGCGGGCCGGCAGCCGCGCGCCAGCGCTGCCAGACTGCACATCTGCAACATGCAAGCGGCGCGTCAGCGGCGGGGCGGCATCGCGGCGGCCAAGGGCTGCTGCGCATTCGCAGGGAACGAGGACGTCCTGGTAAACGGCGCACGGCGCGGCCGGGTCTCGCGCACCCACACCACCTACATGTAACTTTAATGCATTACGTCGCAACTAAGTCACTAACTCAATGATTTGCGTGTTTCCAGTATTCAGTCAGCTAACATTCGCTCTGTACTTGTTGGGCTCGAAAATATATAAGTAGTAGGTAAAGCTCGTTAAAACCTAGTGTTGGATTTTCGTATTCGTTCACACATAGGTTATCTATTCACTACTAGCAGTGCCGTCGTCAGGTCGTCGCCATGGGGGCCCAAAGGACCGACAATTTCTACAACTGACACACACCCGTGACACTGTCCCGCAACGTGTAGCGAGTTCGATTCCCACACGGAGCAAATCGTTGTGTCATCCACAAATTGTTGTTTCGGGTCTGGGTGTCACGTGTATGCGAATGGTATTTTTGTAAATGCACCCACGACACAGAAGAATACTAGTGTGGGACAACGTTGCTAAAAAAGGAGCAACCCACAAGGAGCCGAATTATTGTGTGCCCGACGGCCCCGGCCTGCCTGTGATATATGTTGCAGGGTAACATATACTTACTGTTGAGTTAATCACAGACCACTGTAAGTGTGGAACCTACAACAATTTTGTTTCATTCTCTGCCACCTGGCGCTCACATTCTATACGACCGACAAATACCAAAGTCGATGATGTTTTCCAGATGAGAATAGCGACAATAATAAAATAGCGGCAATATCATACTGTTTGTCTGAATGACTAGCCATGCCAAATGGTTCGAGTGCCCTGGCGTCCGCAGCGCTCGGCAGCCACGAGCCACCCCACGAGGCCGGCGGTGCTCTCACCGCCGGCCTCGCGGCCATCCTCGAACCATTCGCAGAGGATAGACCTCTGTCTATCCTCTGCTCTCTCTCTCTGATCTCTAAGCTATGAGTCCACCAGTTCTGAAGTAGTCCACACAGTGGAGTCGGATTCAAAAGGTTCCGGTTGTGCCACCGGAACCAAGTTCCTTATCGCGCGGTACGTTGGCTGGGGAGATCTCTTCGCGACACTTTTGATAACTATTTGTGTTTTGTTTTTGCTGTGTGTTTAGTTGTGTTCGTTCAGAGGGAGCGTGGAGTTGCAGTATATCGAAATAAAAGCGATTCGGCTTATAGACGACTATACTAGAAAGCTAAAGAGTTTGTTTGTTAGTACGGGCTAATCTCCGGAACTATTTAAATAATTATTTCGTGTTGGATAGTGCATTTATCGAAGAAGGCTACAAGCTATATAGTATAATAGGAGCCGATCAGAGAGGGTGAACCCGCGCGGAAGCAGCTAGTGAACAATTTCAGGACTTGGATGTAAGGTGCAGTGGAAGGCAGAGCAGTGACATCCGCGGCACCAAACCAAACAATGATTCGACACTTACAGTCACACTATTACGTCTACGGTTAGAGTATTCTAAAAGTGTATCAACGCTTACCAGATAGTTGTAACAAAAATTACATAAAATTCCAAATTTATTTTGGCTGGCGAGTTTAATACCATCTTTTTTAATGAAAACATGGTTAGAATTTCTTTTAGATGAATTTCGTTTAGATAATAATTAGCAGAGATCGATGTCTACAACAGCCAACAAAATACAAAGTACCATCGATTCCGTTTTGACAAGAAACTTACTTATGATTGAATCACAACTTTAGGTACTTTAGTTACCGTCAACCAATCGTTAGAAATATTATATATTTTAATGGATCCGTATTAAAGTAATTATTTATCTAAAGCGAGTCGTTCATCACTAAAATCCTGAACAGTTACTAAAATCGAATTTACTAACTCAGCGATGATGGCCGCGTCGGACGGTGGATCGACAATGTTGACATATAAATGTCATTTGAAAGAGAATTATTTATTTATACTTCATTTGTTGATATCACAAGTAGTAGCTAGCTCGCCGGAGGACACGTGTAAACATCGTGTAATCTTGTGAGTCCCGAAGCGAACCAAACGATTACGTACCTACAGTTAAAACTCTTAAATAGGGAACAGTTAGGATCAAAACTTCATAAGAATGAGAGGAAACCCTCTATAACATAACTTTGAATTCCCGAACTGTTGAGTAGAGATGCATATTATGTACTGAAAGTAATAAGAACTTCCATTAGTTGTGAGTCGTGCACAACAGAATGCGTCTATGAACATAATCAGAACACGGTTGCAGACTGTGGAGTATAACTGACAACACGTGAAAAAGAAATGTTCATGGTCGCCCCGGAAGCCGCACGCGAGATCTCGACTCTGCAATGACACTAATAACCTCTTCACCAACGGGGAAGAATTCCATATTTCAGCATTTAACTTAAGAAAGACTTCTTTGCGCGCTTCTTAATTGTGCGCGGTGTGTAGTCATAGATTCGTCCTAATTATATGTAAATATTAACATAACCGGCAAAAGGTCAGGGTTTCTTATAGTTGCACACCTCTGTGTACCCCTCCGGGGAACAAAAGGAGTGATGTTTGTTTAATAATGTTAATTCGTGTATTACAATAATTATAGCATTAATAAAAATACGCGTGCAGTTGTGTGTGAAGGAGAAACAAACGAAATGAAGAGTTCCATAACGTTAGTGGCAACGTGTGAAGTGTGTTATCGCAACAACACTTGATGGAAATAAAATATATATTCACGGGGTCTACACATCGAATACTTATCAATAAATGACATACCTAAGTGCCCACAATTCTTTATAATTAAAAATCCTGTTGATATTTATGAAATAGTTAAAAATAAAACAAAAGTTTATATTCATAACTTTAAACAAACATTGATTACAATTCTTTTAGCATTCCTTTACTTATTTCATTTATCATTTAAATTGTAAATATTATTAATTTATTTAAGTATACCTCCTACATTATTTCGAACCGAAAGGAACTTCGTTCCAATCGGAAGGGAGCCCACAAGTGACACCTTACACATTTTATTTATAATAATTATTATAAATTGCAAGAATTTGATTCCATTCCAAAAAGGCTAAGTTTCCGCTAAGTCAACTTGCAATATTTCTAGCGTACCATGTGTGTACTGTAAAATGTATACCTATCTGTTTGTTCTATATTATAACAACGTAAGCGTTTGTGAGTTCGTGAGAGACATTGAGGCAGGTCGTATCCACTACTAATACACACAATCAAAACATTGCCACAAAGTGTCTCCCACCGCATGCGTTGCGGACAGTTGTGTTGGCACACAGCTACTGAAGCAAGGCCTGCAGTATGTATGTGTTCTGTAAACATATACCTCTAGGTACCTACATGAAGTAATGTTGTACTTTTTATTATTATGTGTATATAGCTAAAGAGTGTGTTTGCACGCACTAACCTCCGGCCTCCGGAATGACTGGTTCTAATTGAATCCTTTTGTTGAAATGTCCATCTATCGACGAAAGTTATATAGGCTAAAACATCGCACTACGATGGATTGGAGTCAAGCAGCGGGTTATAAGAAGCGGGACGACGCTAGTTTTAAACTACGAAGAAGTTCGCCCGGCCTAATGGATTGATTTCTGTGTGTTGTTTCTCAATTATAGGACGAAAAGCCTAACAAAAGCCGGACGGGCCGGACAGATGGCTACCGTAGGGCTAGAGAGCGCTAACTTGGTGCGGTGAGAATTTCACAAATACAATGGTACTTAGATGGTTCAAACATGAAGAATTATACAGTCCACTACACCTATGTCCAACAGAGAACGGACCAACGAGTATGTCCACAGCAGACGAATGTACGGGATCGATTAGAAGGGAACAAATTAAAAAAATACCCTGAAGTCACTATTGTACGACACCGAAATCAGGGGCAGGAAGTACTAAGTACCTGCACAGTAATATACATAATATCAGATTAATAGTTGGCCACATATGTGATGTCCACACTCCTTCCTGTTAGCTGTGTACACGTGTAGTTGCGAGTACCTACTATTTTAAATCAAAGCATGTCAGTGGTCCACTACACGCAGCGATAAACTATTGTACCGATTGAGTTGATTCACGAGTAAGCAGTAACTAGTATGGAAGTACGAGGACTGTCTGCAGCTAGCTGACAGTACCATAGCGCATCGTGATGTGGATATCTCGCAGTCGCAGGGTCCTTCGTAATTACGCGTGCGCGTGTCGCACACTGCGGCAACATGTCCTCCGGAGGGGCCCGTGAGTGCGGCCAGCGCGGACCGACACATAGAGTGCGGCGCGGTGCCCCGTGCCCGCCCGACACGTACTTGACGTACTGCCGGATCTATGTAGTCGCAGCGGGCGACGCCCTGCTCTGCTCTACGCCTTGTCTAGTGTCTTTTTGTCTTGTACGCACATCGCATCAGAGAATGTGAAACACTCGTGTCACATGGCCACTATTCACTGTTTAGAACACACTTAACAATAAGCAAATGTTTTTGAGACAAGTGAAATGTTAATTATGTTATGGTAATTAATATTTTCCATCAATTACTTTTATCCTGGATACATTAAAACGATTGTCCAGCCGCGTACATACATATACTAAATACACAGAACTAATTCTTCGAGTGATAAACGATTGTTCCGAGTCGGAGTGTGATGTGAACATGTGAAAGTGTATGTTTGTAAACGCACCCACGACAGGAGGAAGTCCTGGTGTGGACCAACGCTAACGAAAGGTAAGCAATACGTAGGTCCGCATACACCTGTTACATTCATGTTATAATTATGGTCTCGGTGCTCGGGAGCTGTTTAGTTGTATTGAATAAAGCAGAGCACAAGTGGGCAGTCGGTGGTCCATGGCGGCTGAGTACAGAGCGAGCAGCTGGCGCGGAAGACACGGCAGCAGCGATGACGCGAAAATAAACAGTGTTTGGAGGGTAGTAGGTGAGGGTCGGCGCGCGGGCGCGGCGCGGGCGGCAGAGTATTTATAGCGCGTCCTCATTGAGGCGCGCGCGGCGTGTTTACTGCGCCACGCTATATCGGTGCGCCGCGCCGCCGCAGCATTGTAAACAACGGCGCACTCGCAGCCCTACATCCGGACACTCGCTACGCCCTGCGATGACACATACACGCCGGTCGCCGCTCTGGAGCCGGGCTACTACCGAGCACACTGCACACTCGCACTACATGTTCCGCGGCCGCTCGATACCGCCGCGCGGCAGGGCGCAGCACGTGAGCGCGGGCATGCGCGGCGCGGCGGTGGCGGATCGATGGCGCGGCTCACCTGCGGCGGGCGGCTCGCCGGCCACGC